TAAGAAGGAGTTTTTGTCGCCCTTATAAATAAGAAAGGGAGAGAAAGATAGCATAATACTACGAAAAGAAAAAAAGAGTGCGTCTCTCCCTAAATAAACTCACCACCCTCCTTCTCTATTTTAGGAGCAAAACCACGGTGATTTCTTGAGGGAAAAATTTACTTTGCAGAAAAGGTTGAGGCTAGTGCACCATAATTTTTGTTATTTCATGTATGATTGTTTAAGCTGAAAGGATCATTAGTAGAGATCGGATGCTTAGACGGTTCTTTCTGCAAATTAATTTTTGTGCTACAAAAGGTAACCCTTAATCATCTTATTACTAATATAGTTAGTTGATTTAATGGTTGATCTTGAAAACTTTAGATGGAGGAGAACAAAATTTTTTATTTATTTTATACTTCTATAGGATGCATGATCCCTCAATATATTATCCATGGTGACCTATCCCGTTCATATGTCATACAATAAAATTAAATAGAAAGTTTAAGTCATTCACTATGTACTCATGATTCATAAACTGTACTTTTCTTTTTTTGCAAAATGATAAGTCATCATCATCCAAACCACACTCTCTTTTCTTCTAGATGTCATATTTTCTTGTCCGAAATTGAAGTGCAAGACTCACTCGCTTTTCTAAAGTTGGTCTCGTTTGTTAGTTTTATTATTATTGTTCATTATGGGCCATCGGATTATGCCAACTTCATTTCATTATTATTATTTTTTTGTAAGGTGGGGTACTATCTTTTCCTTTCTTGAGATTTTTTCCCCTTTTAGCTTTTGAGTTTTTTGCATGTATAATATCTTTTTAATTTTATCAAATAATACCCCATGATTCTTTTTTTTAGGAATTTTTGTTTAGGAAGGTCTTATAATTCCACAAGCTTTGATAAACATCTTTATCATGTAATTTTTAAAATTTTTTTTTATTTATAATATTTTATAAACAACACTAATACACTATTATGTAGAGGATTAAAAAAAGGCTTTTAAAGGATTGACCATAGTTGAAAATAAGATAATTTTGAAAAATAAGAAATCATATATTTAATCATGCAAGAAAATTCTAGCAATTAATAAGCAAAAGAAAAGGTTGACATATGGAATGGATTGACCAAAACTTTGATTAATATCTTTATTACTTTAAATGAAGAGAGTCACAATTCATGTATAATATTTCTTTACGAGCATCCGAATTCACAAGTTGTGGCAATTCATCTTTATCTATATTTGTTATAATAAGAGCTCCATTTAAGAATGCCTTCTTCACCACATATTAACCTTTATAGTGGGTACCCATTTACTCATATCTATCCCTAAGGTTTGCAAAAGTTTCATCAACATAAGTTCTCCTTATCAAAAACTTTTTCGATCTAATATTTTTATCATGTGCCTTGATAATTTTTTTCGATACGATTAAGCATGATAGATTGTAGTAAATTGTTTCTCATTTATCATGTTTAGCTTTTCATATCAGATCTTTACCTATTTTGATTCTTCTAATTCTGTATCTTTTAAAACTCTCAAAGAAGGTATTTCACTTTCAAAAGCATCACTACCTTCATCCTATATACCGGAGAGTAAAGAGTTGCCTCTGTTGAAGTTCTAAAAGCTCGTTTGATAAGTATGCAATGCAAATAATAACATCACATGCCAACTTTTGCATGTCACTACCATCTTTTGTATAATCTTCTTTAGATTTTTTTTTTACAGACTTTCATGGTCGCATTCATTTTGGGCCAATATGAAGAAGAATTGTAGTGTTTTATCTATCAATATTGGCATAAATATATCGATAATTTGCTATTAAACTTCTAGACATTATTCATTGTGAAATTTTTTAGGGAGCCATATCTACATATGATATTCTTTTCAACAAATTGATGCATCATCTTTTGAGTCACGTGTAAAAAAAAAAAAAAAAAGCTTTGACCTACTTTGTGAACTAATCGATTGCTTATAAGGATGAGGTGATATTTGTTGCTTACTTTAGGGTTTATTGGTCCAATCACATTCATGCCTCATATTGTAAATGGTCACGGTGATACCATGTTAAAAAGAGGTGTTGAAGGAGAATTTATTTGATTAGTATGAATTTGACACTTATGACATTTTTGCACATATTCAATGTAATCATTTTCCGAGTGTAGTCCAAAAGTAACCAATTCATTAAACCTATCGAGTCCTCATATTTCGTTGGCATGTGTAGTGTAGATTCTCATGAACTTCTCTCATTTTTTTTTCCTTAGCTATGTTTATACATCTCGGTTAGGAGCCATTAAAGCTTTTTTTTTTTTTTTTGTACAAGACTTTATTGTTGAGATAAAAATCCATCGCTAACCTTTTGAGTGTCCTTCTATCATTCTTTGATTGCACTCAATGGATACTCATGGTTTTTGATAAATTGTTTGATATCATAATACCATAGTTTCTTGTCTAGCTCATCTTCAATCCTACAACAATGGTCTATCGAGCATTCTTAGTTTTATTAGATATGGGTTAAATTTTCACATTATATTCAATTTCATTCATTGAGGTGAGGGAATCTAAAGCATTAATAAAATGATTCTTCTCTCTATTCGGATGGGTTAACTCAATTTCTTCAAACTACATTGCTAACTTAAGTATTCTTGATGTAGCTTCAATTTTTTATCTTTTATCTCGCCACTCGTCATTCACTTGATCGATTATGTGTAATGAATCACCATATATATCAAAGTTGTTAATCTTCATCTTTATAACTACTTCCAAACCATACACATATGATTCATACTCAATTATATTATTTGTGTATTCAAATTGTAACTTGATGGCCATTGAAAATCTGTTTCCCCTTTGGTGAAATGAAGACCGATCCAATACCATTTCCAGAGATGTTAACTCGTATGTCACTATTTGGCTTAAGTTCTTCTTCAACCACCATAATTGATTCATTGAGAAATTCAAAATTTAAAAGCTCGTAGTCATTAATTGTGTTGTCTATCAAATGATTACCTATTACACCTCCTTTTACTATTTTTTTTTCATGTACACAATATCAAATTTAGATAACATGACTTGCCATCTTGTAATTTGGCTAGATATGTATGGCTTCTCAAAATATATTTGAGTATATCCATCTTCAAAATTAGCCAAATGATGTAATAGAGCATGTATTGTCTAAGTTATCATGTGCACTATACCGGATCGCATCACATATTCTCTTTTACATTGTATCTTGACCAATATCGACAAGTGGTCTATGGATGGGTGGATTTGCTTGCTAGTTATCAAGAATAACTAGAAAACCTTAAAACAAACTAGTCTACATAAATATTTAGGTAAGGGATCGATTACTAGTGGAGAAGAGAAAAATCACCGCCGCTATATCCTACCTAAGGTAGAATCTGTATTGTATGCGAGTCGAACTAAAATCGAGTTTCATTATGTTATGAAGTTAGCTTATTTGAGTGAATTTATTTTTTTAAGATAAATTGATCGAGTAATTTGGAATTTAGACTGGTTAAAAGTCTATATCCATATTCTAAGATAAAAAAAGAGGTGGAGAAATTAAAATTTTAACATGCCTCTAGCCGACTATAAATCTATATCGATAAATAAGCGAGCCTCTAAGGATTATACGCTCACATTGACCTAATTAGAAGGTCATTTACAACCTTATCCATATAAATAAGAAGTCGGTGAAAAACTACGAGTTCACACAATTAGAGAGATGGAGGGGTCATTAATGGCTTCGTCTATACAAATGGAAACTCACCGACAACTTTAATTCACACAAAAAATCATTTAAATAAAATAAAAATGGCAAGTCCTTTGCAACTACAACCCATATAAAAAATCATTCAAATAAAATTAAAATGGTGAGTCTCTTACGATTGCAGCTCATATCTAAAATCATTCACATAAAATAAAAAAGGCAAATCCTTTGTGATTGTAATCCATATAAAAAAACAATGAAGTAGAATAAAAATAATGAGTCCTTTATGACTACGACTCATATCATCAATCATTCATATAAACTAAAAATAGCGAGTCCTTTACGACTACATCTCATATATAAATCATTCAAATAAAATAACAATGATGAGTCCCTTATGACTACAGCCTATATCATAAATCATTCAATAACATCAAAATAATGAGTCATTGCGATTGCAGCCTATATCATAAATCATTTAAATAAAATAGAAATGATGAGTCTCTTACAGCTATAGCTTATATCATAAATCATTCAAGTAACATAAACATGATGAGTTCTTTGGGATTGTAGCCCATATCATAAATAATTCAAATAAAATAAAAACCACTAACAACTTTATCCATACAAGTGGAAAGTCATTGATGGCTTCAATTCAACATACAATAAGTCATTTACATCATGTCTTGGACATGAACATAAAGTAATCAAGACAACACAACAAGTAAATTAGATCAACCTCATCATTCAAAACAAATAGAAAATTATTTTCAAGTGCAAACACTAAGACCATCACTCATCTTGGATAAATCATTAGAATTAAATAACATACCTAGTCCTTCTAGGTCCATCGCAAAGCATTAATCACCAACCTTATCACTCCTCGGAATACCTAGGGTCTTCGGCCTTTTTGGGTTTGATACATAATGATGTATCTAATCAACATTTCAAATATTTCAAATACAAACAAATATGTATTTTTCAATCTTACTCATCCATAAAATAATAAAATAGTAATTAATTACTATAGTTTTATCCAAAATTAATCAAGTATAATAATTTTTGTATTTTAACTAAAATAATTTTCAAAAGATGCTAAATTTGTCTAAAGTCCTATTTAGTGTCGGTTTTACTTTCTTTAGCTTCGTTGAAAACTAATTATTCGAGTTAGCTAGAGAGGAAAAATAAGTAATCTTTGTTGACAATGTTGATGTGGGTTTTGCTATAATGGACTACTAGTGTTGGGTGGCTATTAGTAGGAAAAAAATACTATAGGGGCTATTGGAATTTGACGAGTAGAGAAACAATGGTTGAAACTAGTTATAATAGTTATGTGATGGTGGCAACGGTTAATTTAGCAATGGTTGCTTTGGAAACGACAGAGAAGTGGCGAACAAAGCTACCGATCAAAGTCAAGTGGCTACGGAACTTCATAACGGTGGTGGCTCATGGAAAATAAGCTTCGAGTTGTGTTGGTGCATTGGTATTGATTGGCTAAGGTTTGTAGTGTTCGGTGGCTAATGTGGTCGTGGATTAGTGGTACGACCGGTCGGAGACTATTATGGATGAACGAAGTGGGCTAGACTATGTTTATGTAGAAGAAAAAGAGGATTTTAGGGTTTTATGGTGGCTAGAGGCATCTCGAGTTGGTTTGGGTGAGATTCGATGGTTGAAGGAGAGGTTTAACGAGTTGTAGGTTGATGCTTAAAGGATGTGAGGTCTAGCTAGAGGGTTTGACGAATGCTTATTATGGTCGTTGCATTTTCTTTCTCTCTTTAAAAGAGATGAATAGTACTTAAATCAAAATGGGAGTGGAGAAGGGTATTTATAGGGGGACTAATTAGGGTTTTAGATAAAAATCAATTTGGTCCCTAATTTCTCTATGTTTTTTAATTTTAGTCCATATATTTTAATTTTTCTTCAATTCTACTCCTAATTGAACTTATTAAGATCCTTTTTTTTTAATTTCTTTCAATTACACCTCCTTTTTATCTTTAATTAAGGGTCTCAAGTTTAAACTCTTTTAATTATACCCTCCAATTTGATTTCTTTTGGTCTTAATTTCTTAAATCCTATTAATTAGACCCCTAAATTATTTTTATTCATTTATTTTTTACTTATCTTTTATCTTCTTTTCTTCTTTCTTTTATTTTATATTTTTTTATGAAATTAAGAAAATTAGGTGCGGTAAAAATTAGCTTTTAACGATTGCATTCTCTTTACAATGCTTTCGTCACAAAGTCATTGAAATGGTAGTCTTTGACCTTTTATAGAAATTTTTGTAAAAAAAATAAAAACCAAAATGAAAAGAAAACCAACAAAAAATAAGTAATTATAAAGAAAAACTCACACCATTATTTTGGCTTATTGTTTAGGACGACTTGCCCTTATAGGTGAAGGTGACATAACCAAATGAAACAAAGATGTTATCATTCAATATGTGTTCATGACTTGTAAGTTGTATCTTTTCCTTACAAGAAGGATAAATCATCACCATTCAAACCACATTTCCTCATTTCCCCTCGATTGTCATCTTTCTTGTTTGAAATTAAAGTGCAAGGCTTATTGCTTTTCCTAAGTCTGGATTGTTTGCTCTTTTTATTATCGTCATATAGAGTTCATTTTTTTAGCTTTATTTTAGAGTAACTAATCAAGCATCATAACACAACCTTTTTAAGTAGATAGAGTGTCTTTGTTGGAAAGCAAAAGTTGATAATATCAATGACATTCACATTATTAGAGTTATCGTAACCCATTCCAATTCAATTATAAGATAAATCCAATCTACCCGAACATCAAATAACATTCCATATCAAAGATGAGCCATAACATTTAAAAAAAGATGTCTAAGCTTTCATTAAGAAAAAAATTCAAAATAATAAGTTTAGTGCCTAAACTACTTTGTAGTTCATCTTTCTTTTGCACATCAAAATAAAAAATATTAAAACTAAATACAAGAAAGAAGAGAGTATATAACAACCTCATCATACCCTAAACTTTTTCTTTCACTTGGCCATTTCATATAGCAAGTAGTCATATCTCCTTGTGTAGTTCTCGTAGACCTAATGCATATTCTATTAGTGTAGGTGTCCAAGAGTCAACTTGTTTGAATGGTTTGATTTATTGTAATATTGCATTTTTATATATCAATAATTTTTTTTATTAATTCTTATTGTTTAGAATTTAATAGAATTAGATAAAAGTCCGGATATGCATTGTATTAATGATTGATAAATTGATATGAGACAAAAATTGATATATTTAAATGATATCATTAAATGCCCAAAGTCATAGAATTGTCAAGATTTGACATTGACAACATGTGATAAGATAGCAATACGAGATCTCATATTTATTGGTATGCTAATGCCAAAGAAAGTTCTCGAGTGATTAATGTTCGAGAACATATCACTCGAACATGACTCATTATGAGAACCCATTTGGTTTAGTCTATGAGAATCTTATACCCGATAGGTACAATTGGTCATTTGACTTGAAGTCATCATGGTTATCTCATTAGAAGATTGGTGTACTTTGACACTCGTTTTGATAGATTCAATCAAGAGCTATGTGTGGGTGATTCGTTGGATACACTAGGAATCTAATGAAGATAGGTGGATGACTAAGATATGACATGTCATTCCTTATATACTAAAGGAGTTATCACATTTCACTTCAATGATTGTCTACTTAAAGAATCTGTGACCATAGTGGAAGTATACTAATGAAGCATAGTTGATTTATTTTAGAGTTAAGACATTTGTGATTAAAGAAAAATTATGTGATCATAATCAAACGGACCATAAACCAAGTTCAAGATCACATTGTGACAAATTAACATCAGAACTAAATTGTGATAACCATGCTCATGAAAGCTAATTATAGATTAATTAATCCTTCAAGAAAATTGGGTATTCATAATGCCTTGCTAGATGCCAATCTTGATTTATGTATCAAGAGATAAAAGAGGTGTTTTTTATCTTCTTGATACATTACCGACATATCTAGGAACCTATTGAGTCAAACATATAAGTTTAAAAATTCACACAATAAAAGAGAAGCAAAGATTTTGAAAAAGGTTTTCTGTTTTGAAGCTTTCCATTTTTGAAAAGTTTTTCTATTTCGGAAAACATTTTCAAAAATGGAAAGTTTTCTATTTTGGAAAATATTTTCTAAAATAGAAAATTTCCTATTTTAGAAATTAGTTTTCTAATTTAAAAGTTAGTTTCAAATTTAAAATTAGTTTCAAATTTAAAAGATAGTTACCTAAAAAGAAAATTAGTTTCGTAATTTAGGTTTAAGTGTAATTTAAAAAATTATTTTATAATATGGGTCTCCAAAAAATATCTAACTCAATTTATTTAGATGGTCCAAATTAATTGATAATTAATTATGCCAAAAGAGTTTGAGAAATCGGGTTTAATTTAAAAGCATGTAAGATATTTTGGTAGAAAGATAAACTTGAGTTCTATTGGATAAGCCTAAGGACTTATAAGGATAAGGTTGGACAAAGCCCAAATAAGCAACATCTCTTTGACCTATAAGAAAAAGTTGCCGCCTCATATATATAAAGGGGATGAGAGAGGTAGTAGTTATTATGAAAAAGAAACAAAACTCATGGTAATAGAAAAGAAAAAGAGGAAAAAAAATTTCCCAAAATAATTACTTGTTGCATCTCTCCTTAAAAAGGCCAAAAGTTGGTGCAAATTACTCCGTAGGATTTCTAGAGAAAAATAAACTATACAAAAGGATTAGAGCTAACACTCTAGGATTTTCGTTGCTTTTTGTGTGGGTGCTTGAGCTGTATGGATAATCAATAGAGGTCGGACACTAGGATGGTTCCCTTTTCGCTTGAATTGTTTCTATGCTACAAGGGATAATCATTCACCTATATTTATATTCATGTTTATGTATGATTAGTTGATTAAATGGTATAATCTTAGAAACCCTAGATGGAAGAAAATTTTAGTTTATTTCACACTTTCATAAAATACATGATCCTTCATATTCCTCGTCTTATCGTTGTTGAGAGGCAAGTTTAGCTTTGAACTCTACGGAATAATGATTTTTAATGTTTATCTTTAGTTGCTATATCCTATCGGATTTTCACCTCTACTTTCGGGTCCCCCATCTTACCTTTCTCTTCTTCCATATGTTTCTTCTTTTTGGCCAAGTCATGAATCAACTTCTTTTTTTCAGCCTTGAGTTACTCAAGCTCTATTTTCATTAAATCATCTTTTAAAGAAACTTCTTCTAACTCATTTTCACCATACTCTTCTTTCCCTCATACTAGCTAGATAATATATTTAGAGCCTTTGAGAGAGGGACCGGCTCTTCTTTTTAGATCAATTGACTTAAGGATCCATTTTTTATATCTTGGTCCGGGTTATTTATATGCTTGCAATCTCTTACCCTATTTGTTTTCCATGAATGATATGTCTCTATTGTGTCTAACTCTCATTCAACCATTCCTTCACCCACCATTCTATGGATTAACCGAGTCTTATAGAACTTATGATAGGAATTTAGGTTAAGCTTTATCTTTTAGCTTCCCTTCAAACTTGTTTGGGCCAACGGTTCTAAAAATAGCTGGTTTATAGCCAAGTTTTCTTAAACCCATAGAAGGGGCATAGTATGTGTATCTAGGTGTTTTTTAAGAGGAGCCTATGGTTGTGTGCTATAGTATGTCAAGTATGGCCTTCAATTCATTGAAACTAGTCTTCTAGAGAAAATTACTAGTCGAGTATATTCTTGAACAAAGAGAGCCATTCTTGCTCAAATTGATTTTTTCATGTTATAACCATAAATTTTTTCAAATGCTCTTTATTAGTTCACTAGTTTGACTTAAAGACAAACTTGTATACTTCAATATAACTAATAATTTACCCAAAGATCAATTGCACACAACACCTCATACTTTTTTCAACTCTTTGATAGCAACTCAATGATAAAAAACAAAGTTTTAGCTAAGATGATGATAGTATGGTTTATGACATATTTCTCTATTTTGATAATGATATTGGCAATATTAAGACTAATGATCCCGATACATGAAGGGAAAAACACTAACCTAAAAATCATCAACGTTAGTATTTTAACTATCTTGGAGGTAGTTCACGGTTCTTTCACTTTCAATTTAAATAATTCACTCCAAGCTTCCCAATTCCAACCCTTAGTGTTGCCGTTAGCGCAACGATGACTTATGTCAATACCTAACCAATCTTTAGCTCTCTTTATAGCTTATTCCCATCTTTAGTATGGATATACATTATACATAAAGCTCAATATGCATCATAGTTGATGATACTTTTCTGTAATAAGTGTTAAATCCACCTTTTTAAAAGTAAAAAATCTATATAAAGGGTTCCATAGTTAAATCAACGCCTTAAAGATAGGCTTTTGAATAGACACCTCCAACAAGATAATAAATCTGCCAAATTTCATTTTGAACTTGTTTTGATTGTTTACAATTAGCATCCCTCAACGAGTTAAGTAGCTTTTAAGTGTCATTGGTCATTGATTAAAAGAACGTGATCTTCTTATGGTTGCTCTAAAAATTTGGCCCCAAACAATCCCCCTATATTTGTTGTAGAGCCTAAAAACTTTTATGGTGTTTGAACGGATCATGCATCCTATAGAGGTACGAAATAAAATAAAAAATTTATTTCATTTAAAGGGCCTAAAATCATATTGTTT